GTTTGCACTGAAGTACATCCCGACCACCGAGCAGCCGGCCGACTTCCGAACGAAGGCTCTGCACTTTCCGGCCTTCAACCGGTGCTCCGTCGCAATCGGCCAAGTGCGCCTGGCCAACGTCGGCGACGGTGACAATGACGCGCAGTAGTAGGTGCCATGCCCTCTTGCATGGCTGGTGCGGTGACCGGCGTGCTGTGCGTTGTGTGCACGCCGATGACTACGAGCTATTCTCCGAGTAGTGCTGCCGTGTGGGCTGGAGGCCCAAGCGTGAACGCGGCAGGGGAGTGTCAACGGGAGTTGTGTGTTGGCCCCGTCCTCGCTTGGGCGGAGCCGACTTCGTGTTTGGGTGTCAGGAGGTACAGCCAACTTGCAGATGTGGGCGACGCCGACTTGGGCGAGCTGGTCGACGGGTTTGGTCGACCTGCACGAGGTCACTGTAATGCCGCCGACTTGGGAAGCCGGTGGCCTGCTTCAACTGGTGGTCGACGATGGGGCTCGTCGTCTTGGGAGTCGGCGCCGACTTCATTAGGTCGCCGACTTCTGAAGGTCGACCTGGAAGTCGGCGCCGACTTGGTAGGTCGCCGACTTGGGCGGTCGCGGACTTGGGAGGTCGCCGACTTGGGAGGTCGCCGACTTGGGAGGTCGCCGACTTGGGAGGTCGCCGACTTGGGAGGTCGTCGACTTGGGAGGTTGCCGACTTCAGGAGGTCGCCGACTTAAGGAGGTCGACATGGGATTCGGAGCCGACTTGAGGACGTCGACCTGGGTGGTTGATGGGTGTGTACAGCAGCTGGTCGACAATGGCCACGCAAGTCGACGCCGACTTGGTGGTTGCCCGGTCGACCAGGTTACCCGGGCGACGAGGATCTGCGGAGGTGCGCGATCGTCGCCCAGGTGGTTTTGGCAAAGCTGGCCCCGGTGGTGATATCTCGAGGTCGACCTGGAGGATCAGGTGCAAACGTGGGCACGTGGTCGACTTGGTGTCAGTGTTGTGCAGGTGACGAAGAACGTCGCGCCAATTAGCTGGGAGCACCTGCGAAGCAGGTGCGCTGCTTTCGTGCGAGTGCAACGCTGTTCAGTCGCCCTTCTGCAGCGTTGGCGCACCGTCGACTTGCAGCGCTGGCAGACCACGACTTTACTCTGTTGGAGCGCGGTGGACCTTGTAGTACTGGAACGCGGTCGACCGTGCTGCGCTGGCAGTCGACCAGCTTGCATGCTAGCACCTAATGTAGTCAGTGTTGCTTTGCCATTGTTAACCATTGTTGTAAACTTTTGCTAGTGAAACTCTTGCCAAATCTCCCCGTGAATGAGCAAGTAGTGAGAGAACAAGTAAATGACTAAGGAACGAACGCAGAGATCACCTCTCACAACCGTGCCTACCCCGTAGTATAAGCTCCCGTTGTTCTAGTTATCTCCGCAGCCAGAAGGTCACCGGAAGCGTGCGCCCACAGGGACTCGTGAACCTGACATTGACTCTCTAGGAGGCGCTGTGTACGCAGGAGCCAGACAGAGAACTCGAGCGGCCTACCCTTAGCATCAAAGCGCAAGACTCTAGGCGTCGTTAAATGCATAGGAGGCCTGAGCAGGGCGCGGTAGGGAGGGCGCTTCGGGACAAGTAGGGCGCGACGGGACGACATGGTATGCACAACGGGACGGGACGGGCGCGATGGGGCGGGACGGGCAGGCGCTGCGGGCGCCAGGGGACGGGACGGGACGGGCGCGACGCGACAGGACGGGCAGGCGCGGCGGGCGCAAGGGGACGGGACGGGATGGGCGCAACCCGACGGGTTGGGCACGCGCGGCGGGCGCAAGGGGATGGGACGGGACGGGCGTGACGCTACGTGACGGGCAGGCGCGACGAGCGCAAGGGGACGGGACGGGACAGGCGCGACGCGACGGGACGATCAGGCGCGGCGGGCGCAAGGGGACCTGACGGGACGGGCGCGACGGGCGCTAGGGGACAGGACGTACGCGATGGGCGCTAAGGGACGGGACGGGTGCGGCGGGCGCTACGAGATGGGACGGGCGCTAGGGGACGGGACGGGCTCGACGGGCGCTAGGGGACGGGACGGGCGCGACAGGCGCTAGGGGACGGGACGGGCACGACAGTAGGGCGCTACGGGCGTGATAGGCTCAAGAGAGAGGAGCGGGATCCAACAGGATCCTAACCTAGGTGATACCATGTTAGAAACTAAATGATGTGTTATTGTTGTGAGTTGGGGTACATATGCCTAACCCTAACAACTGTACCCCACATGACAAGCCTCACTACAGGCTACAACATTTGACAATGTGATCTATATATATGCCTATATGCTTACCCTTGCTAGGTTGTGATCATTACCCTGCATGCGTTCTTTATAACTTTGCATGCGAACTGGCCTTACAGCCTCTTACTTGTGCTCGGACTGTGTGGTGACTTTGTGATCCACCCTGAACTTTGCTTTGTTGTTTTACTTCTTCGCGCACAATCCATACTTTTGGAAGTCCACATTCGGCCGCTTTGCTTGACACAGAAGCAACTTTGCGTCGCCTTCGGCTTTCCTTTGCCCAACCTGCACCCAACCGCGTTTTCCCAAAGTTCCTGCCTAGCTAGACTGGCCCTCTAGACTTCCTCGCGTTATTCATTGTATTGCCAGTCCATATTGTCACAGCTTCATTATTTGTATTCTATGCAATTCTGTTCAACAACTCATAACAACTACCTTACTCTCACAATTATTGTTTGTAGGTGACTGTGCGCTATCTAGGCTTTTGGTATCGAGTACTCCCATTGTCCAGTCTGGCTGCCCTCATGTTCACTGCCATCCCTCTGGCATCTGTTGATGGCAGCCGCCCTACCAAAAATCGAATGAGATTGAACAAGGTTCGAAAATATCAGAGGCGTCAGATGAGAATACACGTATCAGACGGTTGGTTACACCAGTTTTACGTTGAAAATTCCGAATCAATGGTATTTCCACATCTCAGTCATACACAACTGTTTAGTGTTTTCATATTCACAAAGCAGCTTAGAACAATGTTAAGGGGCTCCAAGCCTCTCTTAACGTGGTGCCTCGCGTCGCCTTACGCCTCAGGTGAGTCGTGATTGACACGAAGTTGGCTTTGCGACGGTGACGATGATCTGAAGCCGAGCTTGGAAGAGCCAAAGCGCAGGCTCTGCAGCTCCAGCCGATTGTCTGGCACCAGCCCCGAACCTTTCATTCGAGCGTGTTGCAATTTAGAAAATCGAAGGATCATGTCCCTACACCAATCCCTTGTAGGAGATCCTCGACTCGCTGCATCATCGATGCGACAAAACAGATTGTACCATAACCGTCCAAGCATGGTACCATCCGGGGTGAGTGACAGTCTCATTTCGCTTGACTAAAGCAGAAACATTAAAGCAACAGTATACTTTTGAAAGTAGGGCTTTCAAAATCCTAACGAACTTGAAAGTGGTTACCAAATTACAAGCCACAAACTCGTACCAACCCCCCAAGAAGTGCCTCTCGCTCATGTTCAACTCCTAAGGATATGCAAAAGGATACGGATCTACGGGAGGTAGGTTTTGCACCACACCTGCCTAGGAAAAACTAGCAGCGTCCGTAAGTCGCTGACGCGCCACGTACAACATTTTAGACTCGTCACATAAAGATACAGCGCCATCCCTCTCCGCGCACGCTCAAACAGACATAGTTGCAATCTCGAAAATCCAGGTCGCTTGGTCTCGCGACGCGACGGAACAAGGCCGTACTCGTCGCGAAGCTGTTGTGGCATCTCCAAGTCGTCGCACAGATGCGAGTGTGTACGCGCCTCTGCATCCACAAGCTTAATTTTCGGTACTGTGGGAAAACAAGGCCTCGCAAGATTTTCACGATCGCTATCTCGTCGCCCGACCTCCGCTTCGCGCCACCCCATCTCCCCTTCTCACTGCCCGAGTATCAATTCCCACTGTACGATTCGGCGCTCGAGCCGCTCAAAATTTCCTTTCCCTAAGCTTATATCTTACCCTTTCCTGCTCCGCTCATCTCCCGGCTCGCATTATCCACTCGCGAAGCCTCGCGTGCTCCTCTCGCATCCCCGTGCTCTCCTCCCGCTTACCCCGCGCGGCCTCCACACTTCTCCCCGCGCGCACGACTCTCGCCTCCAAGCGCGGCCTCCTCCCGTTTCCACTCGCAGCCTCCTCTCGCCTCCACGCGCGGCCTCCTCTCCCCCACACGCGCGGCCTCCTCTCGCCTCCACGCGCGGCCTCCTCTCGCCTCCACGCGCGGCCTCCTCTCGCCTCCACACGCGGCATCCTCTCGCCTCCACGCGCGGCATCCTCTCGCCTCCACGCGCGGCCACCTCTCGCCTCCACGCGCGGCCTCCTCTCGCCTCCACGCGCGGCCTCCTCTCGCCTCCACGCGCTAAGGACCCCTCTCGCCTCCACGCGCCGCCTCTTCTCGCCTCCACGCGCGGCCTCCTCTCGCCTCCCCGCGCTCTCCTCCTGCCTACCCGCGCGTGTGACCCTCGCCACCCCGCGTGGCCTCCTCTCGCCTCCACTCGTGTCCTCCTCTCGCCTTCCCGCGCATGCGCATCTAGCGTGCCTCGTCGGCTTCACCCTGCCTCACCTCGCTGCCTCTCCGCGTCTAGCGGCGGCCTCCTTTCGCGAGCTGCACTCGAATAAGGCCCTCGGCCCTCTCTCACTCTCATGCAACGTCTGTGCTTCCTGAACGCCCTCTTTGCCCCACATGTACGCCCTCGTTTTCCCTGTATGCATGCCCACGTTTCCCCACCTACCACGCCCTCATTTTCTATCTTGTACGCCTTATTTTCCCCCTTGCACGATCCCCACCTGCTTGACCTAAATTGTCCCCTGCTTGCCATCAATTCTCCCCTGCTTGCCCTCACTTCTCCCCTGCTTGCCCTCACTTCTCCCCTGCTCGCCCTCAATTCTCCCCTGCTTGCCCTAAAGTCTCCCCTGCTTGCCCTCATTTGTCCCCTTCTCCTCCTCCCGCCATGCCTTCTCCGGCTCCCACCATGCCTTCTTCTCCCCCCGCCACCCCCTCTCCTCCTGCCGCCTCCCCCTCCCCTCCTCCCACCATGCCTTCTCCTCCTCCCGCCACCCCCTCTCATCCTCTCACCATGTCTTCTCCTCCTCCCACCAACCCTTCTCCTCCTCCCGCCACCTCCTCTCCTCCTCCCGCCATGCCTTCTCCTCCTCCCGCCATGCCTCCTCCTCCCGCCATGCCTCCTCTTCCCACCATGCCTTCTCCAGCTCCTGCCATGCCTTCATTCACCCCCCGCAACCCCCTCTCCTCCTCCTGCCATGCCTCCTCCTCCTCCCGCCACCCCCTCTCCTCCTCCCACCATGCCTTCTCCTCCTCCCGCCACCGCCTCTCCTCCTCCCGCCATGCCTTCACCTCCTCCCACCGTGCCTCCTCCTCCCGCCATGCCTTCTCTGGCTCTCGCCATGCCTTCTCCTCCTCCCGCGACCCCCTCTACTCCTCCTGCCATGCATTCTCCTCCTCCTGCCATGCCTTCTCCTCCTCCCACCAAGCCTTCTCCTCCTCCCGCCACCCATGTCTTCTCCTCCATGCACCAACCCTTCTCCTCCTCCCGCCACTTCCTCTCCTCCTCCCGCCATGCCTTCACCTCCTCCCGCCATGCCTCCTCCTCCCGCCATGCCTTCTCCTCCTCCCGCGACCCCCTCTACTCCTCCTGCCATGCCTTCTCCTCCTCCTGACATGCCTTCTTCTCCCACCATGCCTTCTCCTCCTCCCGCCACCTCTCCTCCTCCCACCATGCCTTCTACTCCCCCCGCCATGCCTTCTCCTCCTCCTGCCATGCCACCTTCCTCTTCTTACCATGCCTTCCCCTCCTCTCACCATGCCTTCTCCACCTCCCGCCATGCCTTCTCCTCCTCCCGCCATGCCTTCTCCTCCTCCCGCCACCCCCTCTCCTCCTCCCACCAAGCCTTCTCCTCCTCCCGCCACCCCCTCTCATCCTCTCACCATGTCTTCTCCTCCTCCCACCAACCCTTCTCCTCCTCCCGCCACCTCCTCTCCTCCTCCCGCCATGCCTTCTCCTCCTCCCGCCATGCCTCCTCCTCCCACCATGCCTTCTCCGGCTCTCGCCATGCCTTCTCCTCCCGCGACCCCCTCTACTCCTCCTGCCATGCATTCTCCTCCTCCTGCCATGCCTTCTCCTCCTCCCATCAAGCCTTCTCGCCAATGTCTCGTCGAGTCTTGAGGCCCGTAAAACACTTGCATGCAATTTTTCCTGCGTATCGCGAATGATGCGTGACTGTGAGTTTTCTGCATCGTCAATCTCGCGATCGAATTTTTTTGCTGAGGCGATCGAGCTGGCTTTATCCAGTCTCCTTGGTCGTGCACACCGCTGACATTGTAGTATGGTAACCATACGCTACACTGTCTGACAGTGGGGATCGGTTTCAAATAGGCGATCGATTCCTTACTTGCAACACGTCCTATGAGTCCTTCCCCTCCCTCGATTGATCGCCAGATCGCCGTGAAAAAACGATCAGCCACACCGATCGCAGGATTGGAGCGGGATTGGTAGGAGGTGACAATCGCGGATCGATCTCGAGCCCAGGGTGACAGCATCGAGAATACAAGGGGGCTAAACTCTCGATCCTACAAAAGCCGAGATCGGTGTGGCCACGAAGGCACATCGATCGTCATCAGCGGAGGTGACAAGATCGTTGGGCACCTGTCACTGTACATTCGCAAGTCATCCCGAAATCTTGTTACCCTGTCAATTGCGATTCTATTGCCGTCCCTCGATCGATCGAGGGCAGGATCGATCGAGATAGGGGACGCGCCCTAAGAACAGCGCGTTGCATTTGTTCTCATTCCTTAACGCATAACAGGTGCACCGAGCTTAGAAAATCTGGAATTTTTGTAAGGGAAATCATGCAAATGGTAACTTATACGGGGCTCAATAACGCGTACGGTAACCACTACAATGAATTTTAACGCGTTTGGTAACTCGATTCACGCGTTTGGTAACTCTGCACTGCCAAGCAATCACGCGAATGGTAACTAGAAGAAACCTTCACCCAAAATGACCCTGATCATGGTTTTTCCCGCTCGTGCCAGACTGAATGGACGAATCCTGGCGCACCAAGTTCTGATAACCTTTCTGAAATTTGGGCATTTGACGCGCAAGTAGATTTTCTGAAAATTGTTTTACACATTCAATGATTATTTCTGCGCTTGTCTGGAACATTGTGTTAACCTGTTTCTACCGCACAACCGGGGCAAAAATTATAAACCCCTTTCGGATGGCAAGCGATTATAAGAGCATCAATCATTAACATCTTGCGACAAGGCGTTTAGGGTTCGTTTCTAATAGGGGCTAAGTTTATAATTTAGGCGTGCAGTATTAGAAATGTATTAGTGATACTTTTCCACCAGTTCTAGCCTTGTCGCAAGGTGTTTAAGGTTTATTATTTCACAATCGCATGCCATCCGAAAGGGTTCTATTTTTTTGCTCCAAAGACACAACAGAAATGAACAAAATTTTTGAATTTTAGAACCTACACTTCGAAAAGTGTCGTTTGTTTTAAATTGGTACTAATAAAAGGTACATACGTGCAAAATTATCTTGGTTCGGAAAATGTGCGTGATAGATAGAACGCGATGCGTCAAGATTCGTCAAAATAATTTCGCACGTGCGCGAAAAATTCATCACCAGGTCATTCCGGGCGACGGTTTCTTCTAGTTACCATTCGTGTTATCATTTCCCAGTGTAGAGTTACCAAACGCGTGAATCGAGTTACCAAACGCATTAAATTTTATTGTAGTGGTTACCGGTCGCGTTATTGAGCCCCGCATAAGTTACCATTCGCATAATTTCCCTTTTTTGAAGGCTGGATCTCGTGTATGTCTCTGAATTTTTCCGAATTCCTTATCGGGGTTGACTGCTTCGCGTACAACCCGATTTTCGGACTTTGCACGTTCGGCCGATTTCAACGCTGCCGAGGCTTCTCGCGTCGCCTTCGGTATTTTCCCGTCGCCAAACCTGCGCCAAACCGCGCTCGTCCGAGGTTCCCTCCTAGCTAGGCTAGCCCTACATTAGTCTGCACATTCATTGTATTCTCAGTTGGTTGAATCACAGCCTCGTTATTCGTTTACCTGCGTACTCCTTTTACAACTCATAACACCTGGTATCAGAGCTACTTTCCTAGTTCACCCCGCTTTCCGAGGGTAGTTTGGTGGCACGGGTGTGGCTGGTTTAGTGACTACACGACGGTTGGCTGCAGGGATTGTTAATTCAATCCTGCCCGACTCCGATAGTTCGTGTTTTCACTTGCTTGAAAGTCACGGATACCCGACTGCCCACCAGACGTAGTGCTAGACACATGGATCAGGAGGCTGTTGACCAGATGATGGCGCAAATGGCAGAAATGCAGGCGAGCATGAAGTCATTAATGGCGGAAGTGACAACATTGCGGGAGGAAAACGCCGAGCTACGCCAGACGCGAGGTGAAGCGCGTCAGGAGTCGCCTGTGGACGAAGGCGAGGGCAACAGTCAGGAGATGAGCAATCCGTTGGATGCGCTCACACGTGACTTCGAAGAAGAAGACAGGCAGCGAGCAGTAGCAACGTCAACCACAGTGACAACGATCAAGATCAAGCCCGTCAATCCGCCCCCATTTAACCCTACGGACAAGACGACTACAGTGAAGGGGTGGCTGTTCGATGTCGAAGTCTTCTTCACTGCTGCGGGAGTTAACGACAATGCCACGCATATTAATTACGCAGTCTCGCTTCTTCGAGGCGCAGCGCTTGAATGGTGGCGCCGAACCTTGGAAACAGGGACGCCGACAGGTGTGACACATGCGGCAGACGGGACCTCTGCAGCAACTAATCAAGTGGCAGGACCAATCTTTGGTGTGACCACGATACGCACGTGGAAGGAGTGGGGCGCAGCCTTGCGAAACCGTTTCGAGCACGTATCCGCCTCGGAGCAAGCTCGCATGAAGCTGCGTGCATGGTCGCAGATGGCTTCTGTCCAAGACTACACGGCGTCATTTATGGGCCTCGCCGACCAAGTTGATGACATGTCGGAAGCAGAGCGGTTGGATAAATACATCAGCGGCCTTAAATACGAGATACAGTACGAAGTCCGCCGAAACCGCCCGACATCATTTCTCGAAGCTGTACGTTTGGCGGAGTCAACAGATGCACTGATGCAGTACGCGAGAATGGCTTCCAGGGATGGAAACCGTTTTCGTGGCCAGACCCATCGGGCCACTATCAACGCCTTCAATACACCCGACCGCCCTCCTAAGGGACCGTGTTACCGGTGTGGGAAGACGGGTCACTACATGAAAGACTGCCCCGAGAAAACGTCGCCAGCAGGGAACGACAGGAAGGAGCAGGGAAATGGGAAAAGTCAGTAATTAGCGGGCCCTTTACTTACTATGCTCCGTCGCCCGAACCCCACCATCCCCACCGAGTCGTGGTTCCGATTCATGCAATCGATCGCACTCGGCCGAATAACGGGGATACACATGTGGATCACCCTGTGCTGGTCGCTGGCAAGGTGTTAAAAAATAATTTGAAAATGTTCGTCGATGGGGGGGCCAGCCATAGCCTCTTCAATCTGGCGAGCGCAAAAAAATGCAAGCTGCAACTTGACAGGTGTCTGCCCGAAATCGACGCTCGCCTCGTGGATGGGACGCCGCTGGCGATAACGGAAGAAACACGGACGGTCAGGATCGAATGCGGCGACGATTTCGGCTTCAGCATGAAGTTCCTCGCGACAACATTGGACGGCTGCGACGTCTTGCTGGGACGTGATTGGCTGCGACGGCACAACCCCGTCATCGACTGGACAACGGGATCGTGCAGCATCAGCAAGCACGAGGGGCTAATTAAGTTGCCTGCATGGACACCTGACTACATCCAAGCCCCGTGCGTCAAGGCCATCACTATAGCCCGCCACTTCAACCGAGGCGCGCATCTGTTTGCTGTTTGCTTACGCGAGTTGGATGTCGACACCGACGGAAAAGACATCGAGAAGCTGTGTGCAGCTGTACCTCCGGATTTAGCGGAGCTGATTCGACAGTACCCCGACATTTTCCCGGACGACCTGCCACCTGGCCTGCCACCCGAGAGACCCGAAGACCACAAAATCCAGCTGGAACCTGGCGCGCAACCAACTGTTCGGACACAGTGGCGGTTGACCCAGCCGGAACTCGAGGAGCTACGCCGACAAATTAACGCACTGTTGGAGAAAGGCTTCATTCGGCCGAGCACCTCCCCGTTCGCGGCGCCGATCCTGTTCACTCCGAAAAAGGACGGCGGGCTTCGCATGTGCATCGATTATCGCGCGTTGAACCGGGTGACCATCAAATCTCGCTACCCAATCCCACGCACCGACGACCTTCTTGACCAACTTCGCGGCGCTCGCTACTTCTCGAAAATCGACTTACGTGGCGGTTACCATTAGATCCGAGTCTTCGCCGACGACTGTATCAAGACTGCGTTTCGCACACGCTACGGGAGTTACGAATTTACAGTGATGCCTTTCGGCCTCACGAACGCGCCCTCGACTTTCCAACTCACCATGAACAGGGTGTTTCGGGACCTTCTAGACCGGTGTCTTATCGTCTACTTGGACGATATCCTCATCTTCAGCAAAACACGAGAACAGCACCTCCACGACCTCGACGCGGTGTTTAAACGGTTGCAAGAAAACTGCCTCATCACCAAGGGCTCTAAGTGCGAGTTCTTTAAGCAGGAGTTGGAATTCTTGGGGCACGTCATCTCCCGCGACGGCATCAAAATCGACCCGGCGAAAATCAAGACCATACAGGAGTGGAAGTACCTGACTAATGTCACGGAACTTCAGAGTTTTCTGGGGTTCGTGAATTATGTCCGGCGGTTTATCCCGAATATGGCGGGGATAACCGGCCCGCTGACCGACCTGCTGCACAAGGACAGGAATTTCGTGTGGGGGGAGGAGGCAGAGGCGGCTTTCCAGGAGCTCAAGAATTTTCTCGTTTCCCCTCCTGTGCTGCGCATCGCCGACCCATCGAAGCCGTTCGAAGTTGTAACCGACGTCTCAGATTTCGCCACCGGAGCAGTGCTTGCTACTCCAAGATTTCGGGAACGGGCTGCAGCCGATCGCTTATGAGTCGCGCAAGTTGCAGGCAGCCGAACGCAACTACCCGATCCACGACAAGGAGATGCTCGCCATTATTCACGCATTTAAAGTAT